CCAAACGTTTAGTCGGAATCGTACCTGGCATTGTCAATGAGATGCGCTATCCTTGGCAAAGAGTTACAGCCTATTAAAGTGACAAGTGAAGACAATCCACTTGACCAATTTTCTGTTAAACCGTTATTGCATCACTCATCGCTCTTATTTTTTGTCCAGGCCTCTAGTGCTGCATCTGTTTCCCCCCTCTCACTTCGTATGGCCCATTTGCCTAACTACATCACCCTGTGAATTAGATAAAGAAATGCAGCACTAAAAGCTAGGACATAAGATAGGGGCGAGGATTGAGGCCACAACGGTTGAACAGAAAGTTGGTAAAAAGCTTTGACTTAAGTTTTAACTATGGGCTAACGTTGGTGTCTCTTATTGACAGTTCCGGCGAAACTTTTCTAAATGCATCAAATCAACGGTGCGACGCTGGAAATCATCATGAATACTATTGCTGAGGCTGTAGGGCTAGGTAATTTTCACAAGATCTCTCTGTCACTCCAACCAAGTTGCGAAGACGAGGTCAAACTAATACTATATAGCTAAATGAGACTGCGACCAAACAAAAGACCGCACCATATTGATCTTTATATTTGCGCTCTTATAATTTGTTCATGTATACGGTTGTAATGAGAGATAGAGTTGGCGATCCCATACGAAGTCCCAATTTATGTTCATATATGTTTCAAGTTGATAAGTTTTGTTAAAGACTCATCCGCTTCCAGAATATCTTCTCGATCCAAGCCCTCCAGAATGGCCGTCAGTGTCTTTTATCTAGTAGTATTTGCATTCATAAAATCTACATCTAAGCCTAAAAATAATTATGTTGCTTTTAATCCTTTGAGAAAGCTTATACGAATTCTTTAATTTGTTTCATTAATTCTTGAGTCTCAGGCTTTTAAAATTCACCAGTTTATTCGTTGCTCCATATTTGTTGTATACTTTCAGTCTTCTTTGTTTATATTCGGTAATCCGTAGACCGTTGACAATCATACATCATTTCTCCGTTCTTATACATAGCTTCAGGCATGTCAGGTAGTGTTTCATTGACCTTCATAGTTGGGTCAATCTTTAGTTCACGATGTGGTCCTGTCTCATAATTTTTATCTTATCGGTGTATTGTTTCTTTTACCTTATCACTATCGCGCCTCCTTTCTCCGCCTGTTTCACTAACTGGTCATTCCCTTGTAAAGTTCTGCGCATCTTCTCAACTGCTCCTATTAATTGTTTCCCAAAGTGTCAAGCTCCTTGGAATTATTTCTATCTCCATTTTCTATTTTGCCCCCTTGTGAAATTTGTTGGAGATATTAATTACCTCCAATAGTACCTCTTCTAGCACGTATATTTGATTTTAGAGAAAAAAATTAGCCCTTTGGGTTAGCTGTGATTTTGGGATTAAGAGAAACCAAGGCTAAATTCAGCACTATCCCCATCCTCTTATTAATTCGGTGTCAAAACTTCTGGAATCATATCAACCGGGCGCACTGGCTTTAACTTATGCCGTTTTATAATCCTATATATAATCATTTTTTGTAATGCCTCTTTGTAATTCAGTCCGAGATCCTTCGTGATTTCCTCTAGGCCATATTCTCGAGTTTTTGAAAATATTCCGGACTGATACTCCCGACCAGAGGCCGCCGGGTCCTTGATCTAATATAACTTATTATTCTCAATATCATAAGTTCCATTTAACTTCTGGATGGAGGAATGGTGAAGTTTGTATAAACTTAGAATAAGTCCTTTAAGTTTATAGATATTAAGTCAAAGCTTTGACCTGATCTGGCAATGACTTTTACTCCCGAAGATTGTCAGAAATCCTAGAGTATAGTTGACATGAAACCAGGAAGGATCTTAGACTTAATGATAAAGAGGTATGACAAAAAATTGCGTAGCTGTTGATTATGAGACCCCATGTGCTAAAGCTAGTGGTGATGATGTGATATGGTTTCGGAAATTGCTTATATATATCTCCGTTGAACGTAAAGCATGTGGTTCTTACTATCAGGATGATCAATCGTATTAACGATTTCCTCCGTATCAGTTCTGCTTTCAGGATATCTTCCTCGTTCCAAGATCTCCAGCACGGCTGTGACTGCCTTCCCGCCTGAAATGTTTATGTGCATTGATTGTACATAGAAACTTAGTTACAGTTCCGTCCCTGCCAGTCTAATGTTTTGGATCCTTTGAGAAAATCAATTTGAGTTCTTATGATGCTTGAGAGCCAAAAGACTCTCAGCTTCAAGCATATAAGTTTCGCCAGTTTGTTTTACGCTCCATGCTTGTTGATGGCTATAAGCCTTGATGACTTTCCTTCTTTGTTTACCTTTGATAGTCCGTAGGCTGGCGGTAATCTTGCGTCCTTTTTTTGTTAAGGAATTCATCATTCACTTGCCGATTTCTGCGTCTGCATTTCCTTTAGTGTATCCTTTAGTATACCCCGATCTTCATTATTGGATCATTTCTGAGTATTTGATA